ACCTTTTTGTTAGTAGAACTTGTGCAAAACATATGTTTTATCTCTTTTGATGTATCACTTGAGTTAATAGTCATTTTAGTAATTAATGGGACCCCCCCCTCAGAAAATCGATTTTTTTGGCAAAATATTGAAGTTGAGTTTTTATTACAGGAAGATGCAACGAAGCTTCCTCTTTCAGAATATATATAGTTTTTTGGAAAATGATCAGATTATCAAAGACTTATCGCATGAAACTTAAAATCCACTACCATGTTTTTGTAGAAAACTTCATGGGTTTTTTAGGGTTCCAGTTTCAGAAAAATTGCGTTTCCACTAGCATTATCGTGGAATAGAACATTTTCATGCTGATCACAATGTCAGATGGTGCTAGTTGCCATCATCTGTGACGTCCTTTCAGACGCCCCAGTGGAATACACCATTGCAACATGACTTATTCTGGATTTTAATGAAAAAATCCATCTCCAAAATTTCTTTAGCATTTTTCTCAAAACACGGTTTCTAGACAAAAAAATTGAAATAACTCCCGCTCGGCTAGGCATATAATCCATGATTTTTTTTTGTTTTAAAGGTCTTGATTAGAGCTAACTTTTCATCGGGCGGATTTTTGATATTGAATCCCAGGACTAAGAATAGTGGGATTTGCTGTCGTAGAATCACACTTTTTTATGCTTATTTTGCAAGCATGCTCACAAAATTACTCATAAAAAATGAATGGAAGGAAGTTTCAAAATTCCGTCCGATGAAAAGTTGCGTACAGAGGCTAGCTACAATTTGAAACCAGCTCGAGCTCTTTATCCCTTCTCTGGACCGAGTTATTTCGATTCTCCCGAAAGGTAGGAAACTCAGCCGAAATTGTGTTTTAGTCGGACATGTCAAGCTGAAATTTTTATCACAAACGTTTCTCACTTAGATCAATCATTCCTGAAAATTTCAGCCCAAACGTAGGGTCCCAAGTGGGACTTCATTTCTGAGGGGGGGGGGGGGGCGCCTTAAGCTATAGTTCTCATGCAAAACTATAGTATAAAAGATAACAGTCATGCTTAACCATAGTTCGTTGGCTTACGGCATACTTCAACCAGAAGTATCGACCATTAATAGCAATAATATTATCTGCAGGCTGTATTCATTTTTTCTTGTTCTGTTACAATGCAAGAGCTGATAACAAGCGGCCTTGCATTACCCTTGTGTTTCTACATACAAGAATCGAAAGATTCGTAGTGAAAGTTGGTCTTTCATCAAATAAAAACAGATATTATGAAACTTGTTTTTCTTTCTTTTTTTATATTAATTGCTTGCGAAATAAAATTTAAATTGTCAATTATTTTTCAAGGTCTTACGAGGGAACGTTCCCAAGTGATTAAAAGCTTTTGAGCTCATATGTTACCCATTAGGTAGAGGACCACAAGATTAGAGAAACCTCCAAAGGATTCGTGCCCATGTTGAGATTTGACAGATATATCGAATTTTTAGTGGGTTTTTCCTGCTGGACCCTAGTTCTACAGAAAAATCATATTTTCGAATTTCGACCTGAAACTTTGCTCAAATGAAGGCCTCGATCAGAGTAGCTCGTATAAAAAATTTCAGAATTTTTGAACATTGCATCTCCAAGGTATCAATCTTTCAAAGTATCCATGTTATACATAGAAAAGTGCCTATATTTTCAAAAATTGATACCTTGGAAATGCAATGTCCAAAAATTCTGAAATTTTCTATATAAGCTACTCTAATCGAAGCCTTCATTTGGGCAAAGTTTCAGGTCGAAATTCGAAAATATGATTTTGCTGTAGAACTAGTGTCCAGCAGGAAAAATCCACTAAAAATTCGATATCTCTGTCAAATCTCAACATGGGCACGAATCCTTTGGAGGTTTCTCTTATCTAGTGGTTTCCTACCTAATGGGCAACATATGAGCTCAAAAGCTTTTAATCACTTGGGAACGTTCCCTCGTTAGTAAGTTACCATGTTGATACATATCAATAATGATAAATATATTTTGATTGTTCTAGATTAATAGAAACTATTGCATTTATTAGAGAAAGATTAATTCAACTATGACAAATAGGGTTTTTTTAATTTTTATTGGTATGTCCTAACGAAAAATGATTTTTTTGACTATCACACTATTATTGTTATAGTTCTGCTTTTGATATTAACATACAGTTACTCTCAAAATGTAAACTATCAATGTAACTTCGACAATGATATGACAGGTGATTGTCAATTCACACCAACCTCCAACTTGGTCTTAACGGTTGGCAGTAATCCTTCTTCTAATCCTACTCAGGCCTTGTCTGATGTTACTGCCATTCGTAAGTATTTTCTCAATCAAAGACAACGTAAACACTGTCGAATAACATTTATTATACAGTATCACCAACTTCACCAAACAATGAACGCTGCAATTTTCCATACACTTACACACCAGGAAACTGGCAAATGAACTTTTGTCGACGTAATAATAATAATAATAATTTCACGTGTCCAACTACATCTGGTAGTCCAGGACAATGTGTTATCGGTTGGTTATTTTCTTAGATTTCATATCATCTTAATATTCCTTGAATAAATTGATCATTTGTAGGAAAATTTGCTAATATAAGAGCATCAGGTACTGGTGGATTTGATCAAACATATGAGACTGATGTTAAACAAAGTACGAGTACTACTCAATGTCTTGATTTCTATTACTATATCCCTGGTGCATCAAATAATCCGAAAATACAAGTAGGATGGAAAGTAGGTGAAGACACACAACAAATAATCGAATTGACACCACTACCAGAAAACAAATGGCACAATAGTCGACGTAGTTTTACAGCTCCTTCATCATCTTCTTATCAAGTGAGTAATACTATAGTCTCTTATGGATACAGATAGTTGATGACTTCAATAAATATTATTTAATGTCGTTTAAGCTGACGGTCAGAATGATACGTGATGGATCAAGTACCAGTCACTATTTTGGTTTAGATGAAATCAAGATCTATGATCAATCTTGTGGTATGTTTTCTTTTGATCAATTAATAAATGGTTTTAATTTTGTGATCTATTTTCTATTACAGGGTCTAATGTTACGACAACTATACCTATTGCAGTATGTATTCTGTGTGTTTGAAAGAAGCTTTTTTATTTTTCTTTTGTTAATGTTTATATTTTTTTTACAGTCAACCACCATTACTCACGCCAGTACAACGACTCGCGTATCATCCGATATGGCCACTACTATAGTCACTACAACACCAATTTTGTTTCCTGACACAAGTTCTCAGTAAGGAAATGCATGTCACTTAGATCGATCAGTCGTTAAAACATACTTTTTATAAATGTAGATCGTTGAAACCAGATGAAGAAACAAGTAGTATAACAACAACTCTATTGCAATATGTACTAATATGATTTTTGTCTGATCTTAAGGCATTTTGTTGTCATGAATAGAACAACTGACATAGATAATACTAGAAAAATCATTGTCATTACAATAAGATATTCTAGAATCTGTTGTAATACCAAAGCTCACTTATAAATGATTAGCTTACTTATATTTTAGTAGA